CCCGCGCGCACGCGCGCACTGCGCAGGCGCGGCCGCGCACGCCGCCCCGGGCGGTGCGGTGAGTCCCTGTGTCCTTCCGCCGCGGGACCGGGACCGGCGCCGGGCGCCGCCGCAGCGCCGCGGCCGCCGGCGAGGGCGGGAGCAGTGAGAAGGGAGAGCAGCACCGGAGCCTCCCCGCCGCGGCCCGGGTGGCGGGAGGCGGTGCGGCGGGACGAGGGGCGGAGAAATAGTCCTCAGGCTCCGCCCCGCCGCTGCGGAGGGTTTCGCGGCACCGCTCGCCTCCGCGGCTGGGTCAGCGGAGGGGCCGGGACTTCTTGTGCACGTTTAAAGGGACGCACGGCGCATGCGCGCACGACGGCAGCAGGGAGGGCGGGGTCACGCGGAGGGGCGGGGTTTGTTGATGCCACGCCCCTGTAGGCCACGCCTCTCCGCCCCTCCACGCGACCCCCCGGGACCCCCATGGATCCTATAGACCCCCAGGGACCCCTATGGGCCCTATAGACTCCTACAGACCCTACAGACCTTTATGGACTCCAGGGACCCTCATGGACCCTATAGACCCCTATAAACTCCCAGGGATCCCCATGGATCCTGTAGAACCCTAAGGAACCTCATGGACCCTATAGACCCCTATGGACCCCCAGGGACCCTCATGGACCCTATAGACCCCTATTGACCCTATGGACCCCAAGGGACCCCTATGGACCCTACAGATCCCTATGGACCCCAAGGGACCCCTATGGACCCCCAGGGACCCTATAGACCCCTATGGACCCTATAGACCCCCATGGACCCTATAGACCCCTATGGACCCCCCGGGACCCTCAAGGGCGCCTCGGGGGGCGCGGGGGGCGCCGCGTGGTGGTGGTGGTGCGAGGAAGACGCCGAGGATGAGGAGGCCGAGGCCGAGGCGGGACCCCCCGCGCCGGGGGGCGGCCCGGGGGGGCCCTTCCCGCGGCGGCTGCCGAACAGCGAGCCCAGGAAGGACGAGGAGTTGGAGACCGGCCGCGCCGGGGGCTTGTAGGCGCCGTCCGCCGCGACCCCCGGAGCCCCCCGCGCCTGCGGCCGGGGGCTGCTGATGATGGAGCCCTGCAAGGGGCGGGGTCAGGGCGGGGAAGCCACGCCCCGCTCGGGGGCTGGCTCCTCCCATCAGCAGGGAAGCCACGCCCCACTCGGGGTTTGGCTCCTCCCATCAGCAGGGAAGCCACGCCCCACTCAGGGGTTTGGCTCCTCCCATCAACAGGGAAGCTATGCCCATCTCAGATTTGGCTCCTCCCATTAGTGGGGAAGCCACGCCCATCTCGGGAATTGACTCCTCCCATCCGTAGGGAAACGCCCCATTCAGGATTTGGCTCCTCCCATCAGCAGGGAAGCCACGCCCCTATAATGATTTGGCTCCTCCTATCAGCAGGGAAGCCACACCCCTATAATGATTTGGCCCCTCCCATCAGCAGGAAGTCACGCCCCTATAATGATTTGGCTCCTCCTATCAGCAGGGAAGTCACGCCCCTATAATGATTTGGCTCCTCCCATCAGCAGGAAGTCACGCCCCTCTCAGGGTTTGGCCCCTCCCATCAGCAGGGAAGCCACGCCCCTCTTGGTATTTGGCTCCTCCTATCAGCAGTGGAAGCCACGCCCCACTCTGGATTTGGCCCCTCCCATCAGCAGGAGAAGCCACGCCCAACTTATGTATAGGCCACGCCTCCCAATCACTAGCCACGCCCCCAAGGTGTAAGCTGAACGCCCATTGGTGGATAAGAACAGCAATCACTGGTTGGTCACACCCCCAGAGCGGCACAAGCCCCGCCCCATCCATCAGGACACGCCCCTTTTCCCAGATGAAGGGTGGGGTAGGCTGGGGGCGGGGCTAAAGTGGGCGGGGTCTGGGTGTGGCATTGGGGTGTGACATTGGGGTGGCACACAGGTGGGACGGGGGTGTGACATTTGGGGTGTGGCATTAGCAGGTGGCATTTAGGGGTGGCACATGATTTGGCCCCTCCCATCAGCAGGAGAAGCCACGCCCAACTTATGTATAGGCCACGCCTTCCAATCACTAGCCACGCCCCCAAGGCGTAAGCTGAGCACCCATTGGTGGATAAGAACAGCCATCACTGGTTGGTCACACCCCCAGAGCGGCACAAGCCCCGCCCCATCCATCAGGACACGCCCCTTTTTCCAGATGAAGGGTGGGGTAGGCTGGGGGCGGTGCTAAAGTGGGCGGGGTCTGGGTGTGGCATTGGGGTGTGACATTGGGGTGGCACACAGGTGGGACAGGGGTGTGACATTTGGGGTGTGGCATTAGCAGGTGGCATTTAGGGGTGGCACATGGGTGTGGCACAGGAGTGTGACATTTAGGGGTGTGACATTTGGGGTGGCACTCAGGGGGTGTGGCAGGGGTGTGGCACTCACAGGTGGCACTCGGGTTGTGACATTAGGGGGTGTGGCACTCAGGTGTGACATTCAGAGGTGTGACATTTAGGGGTGTGACATTAGGGGGTGTGACACTCAGGGGATGACACTCAGGGTGTGACACTCAGGGGTGTGGCACTCAGGGGTTTTGGGGTGTGACACTCACGGGATGACACTCAGAGGTGTGACAGGGGTGTGGCTCTCAGGGGGTGTGACACTCGGGGTGTGACACTCAGGGGATGACACTCAGAGGTGTGACAGGGGTGTGATATTCAGGGGTGACACTCGGGGTGTGGCACTCAGGTGTGACACTCAGGGGTGTGACACCCATTTTGATGCTCCCAGTGTCCCCAGCACCCCTCCCAGTGTCCCCAGCACCCCTCCCAGCCTCTCTCCCAGTGCCCCCAGTGCCCCTTCCAGTGGTCCCAGTATCCCTCCCAGTGTACATTTTGGTGCCCCCAGTGCTCCCAGTGCTCCCAGTTCCCCTCCCAGCGCTCCCAGTGCTCCCAGTGCCCATTTTGATGCTCCCAGTGCCCCTCCCAGTGCCCCCAGGGCCTGTCCCAGTGCTCCCAGTGCCCCTCCCAGCACTCCCAGTGCCCCTCCCAGCGCTCCCAGTGCCCCCAGTGTCCCTCCCAGCCTCTCTCCCAGTGCCCCCAATGCCGCTCCCAGCACTCCCAGTGCCCACTTTGATGCTCCCAGTGCCTCTCCCACAGCTCCCAGCACTCCCAGTGTACCTCCCAGTGCCCATTTTGGTGCCCCCAGAGCTCCCAGTGCCCCTCCCAGCGCTCCCAGTGCCCCCAGTGCCCGTCCCAGTGCCCCTCCCAGCACTCCCAGTGCCCCTCCCAGTGTTCCCAGTGCCCATTCTGGTGCCCCCAGTGCCCGTCCCAGTGCCCCCAGTGCTCCCAGTGCCCCTCCCAGCGCTCCCAGTGCCCCTCCCAGCACTCCCAGTGCCCATTTTGGTGCCCCCAGCACTCCCAGTGTTCCCAGTGCCCCTCCCAGTGTTCCCAAGTCGTTAGTAATAAACAGCCTCACATTTTGTCTTACTAACAAAGATCAAAGCTGCTATTATATGTAATGATCTGTTATGTTTGATACTTCTCAGGTAACAAAGTGTTTGGAACACATCCCAAGACATCAGAAAGTCCCCAGAAAGAACAACCTCATTCTCCAGTTCTCAGTAGCCCTGGAACTGCAGCTCAACAATTTTATTATGTTCTACAAGTATGGGATTCTTCCATGAAAAATTTTATTGGACCTTTGGATATCATCAAGGTTGAATTCCAGCTAAGACAACTAAACAGCACTGGTTCAAAATATTGCTCTGAATTGTAACTCATATTTTTCTGAATTGTGTACTTGGGAATGAATCTTTTTAAATTGTCCCTTGGCCTAAATAGAAATAAAGTGCCAGGAAAATCAAGTAGCTACCGCATTTAGGTACGTTATAAAGTGTTTACTCCTTGTGTGCTCCTTGATTCAGTTACTGTATGTAGGCTATTTTATCATAGAAAAATTAGATCTTTTAGCAGTGTGGCAATTCATACAAACCAAGACTTTGTTACAGACTAGCCAAGATAAACTTGGAAAGCTGTTCTTTCTGCAGGTGAGTTCTATAACAAGAAATATTAAGCTTCCTGAAATCTTTCTTTTTTCTGTTCTTTTAATGCATTATGAAAAGGCTTCTGGAGTTTTAAGTGACACAAAACACTTCTGTAAAGCAATTCATATGGGAAGTTGCTCATGGAATAGTAATCACATTAGGGTTAGGCTGGCATGAATGGCTGCTCACAGCCACAAACAACGAGTGGGAGCCTCCCACGTGGAACAATCTCTCCCCTCCCAGTGCCCATTTTGGTCCTCCCAGTGCCCCTCCCAGTGCCCCCAGT